AGGATCGCTTGAGCCCAGGAGTTTGAGGTTGCTGTGAGCTAGGCTAACGCCATGGCACTCACTCTAGCCAGGGCAACAAAGCGAGACTCTGTCTCAAAAAAAAAAGCCTTTTCAGTTCCCCTAAGAGGTTGTTTGTCCTGAGAATATAACAAAATAGTCATATCTGTCTTAGTACCCTTCTACCTCCCTCCCTTTGTTCCTATCCCTCAAAGAATGAGATGTCCCCCATTCTCCCAGCTCAGGCCCTAACCTCCCATCTCCACCTGCAGTTGTTATGGATGCAGCTGTATACAGTTGGTACCACTTGCAGGGACTGATGCTGTACCCCTGAGGCCCTCAGCTCCCTTCATTTATATAATTGTGATGTTACCTCACAAGATCGCTGTGATGCTAGCATTAAATTGATTGAGTTAATGCTTTTAGCACCTAGTACCCTGCTTGGCATATAGTAGTAGCTCAGTAAGTGTATATTCCTTTCCCTGTCTCCTTCCCCCAACTCCACCTAGAGCACCTAGAGCAAACGGTCAGACTACAGAGCAGAGACTCTGTAGGAGGAAATTTCTTGGTGGAAGAAGTAAGTCTCCCATGAAAGGAAAATGAGATTGTGTTGGCCAAGGTCCCAGCTCCCTCCTGCCCTTGTCCGTGGTGCCTACACTCTTTCTCAGGCATCTCTTTTCTCCCTTCACTGCCGTCAACAGAAAGTCGTGTCTGGGGGCCACGCTGCAGAACTGCCTTATGAATTCCTTCTGCCCTGTCTGTGCATAGAGGTGAGCAGAGGAAAAGGTGTGGGTTGTCCATGGCTCTGCTCCTAGGCCCCCCAGGTAGCACAGTTGGTCAGGCATATCTCCAGTAAGTCAGGTTTTAAAGGGTCTGGGTGTTACTGAGATGCTTAGGAAGCCTGGTGCCAGATGGGCTGGGTCAGAGGTAGAGGGTCCCCCTGAACACAGGACCTTCTTAGGGTGATTCCAACCTCAGCCCCATCCAAACCCAGCTTTCCTTGGCCTAGACCTGGCCTCAGCCCACACAGCCAGAATAGACAGCCACCATCACTGTGTGTTCTGAGGAGTCAAGGCAGGGGCATGGGCATGGCCACTGCAACATTCCAAATGCCCCCAAAAGTCTTGTCCCCTCTGGGCCTCTGTAGCCATCTTCCTCCTTTTTTTTTTCCTTCCCCCTTTCTTTATAAGTCTGAAGCACCTGTTCTTTGAACTAGACAGAAAAGGCAGGGGACCCTGTTCCGTTGGAGACCAAAGGGAGGGTGCAGGCAGAGACCTGGAGCGAGGGCAACCGCCAGGGTGGACAAGAGTTGGGCATTTGGACAGTCCAGAGTGAGGAGCCAACTCGGAACTGGGCATTGTGGGAATGGCTGAGAGCGGAGGCCAGGGAAGACCAAAGTTGAGGAATGTGGACCTCACAGTTTCCCTCCTTCTGGGGCTAGTTCTGTCCAGAGAGAGGAGGAGTCCGCCCCTCACTTGCTGATCTCTGTCCTGCACGCTGGAGACCCTCCCCACCCTTGCCCACACCCCACACCGCTCCCCTCATCAGTGCCCTGCCAGCTCAGGCAGCTCACATCATGGGAAGGTAAAGCCAGAATGAGTTTCAGGTCTGAGTGAGATAGGAAAAGCCAGTCCTCTGACCCTCTCTGCCTGCTCCCCTGTCCCCCAGGCTTCCTACCTCCAAGAAGACACCGTGAGGCGTAAAAAATGTCCCTTCCAGAGCCGGCCTGAAGCCTGTAAGTGCTCATATGCTCTTTTGTGCACACATACCTTCTCTCTGTCTCTTTCTCTCTCACACACACACAAACACACAGTCACACACACACTGCCTGCTCCCCTGTCCCCTAGGTTTCCTGCCTGCAAGAAGACACCATGAGGCATAAAAAATGTCCCTTCCAGAGCTGGCCTGAAGCCTGTAAATGCTCATGTGCTCTCTTGTGCACACATACCTTCTCTCTCTCTCTCTCTCTCTCTCTCTCTCTCTCTCATACACGCACACAGACACACACACACACTTCACACTTGTGTTGGAGGAAAGCCCCAGAAGGCATGCACTTTCCCTGGAGTCGGTGGGGGTAAAGGGCTGCCTTGTCTACCAATCAGCTTGCCAATAAACCAGAGTCCCTAGTATTGTAGCACTGTGAGAGGTTCACAAACATGAGATCCAGGGTAGTGTCCTAAGAAGATGGGCCAGAAGACCTAGATTCACATCTAGGTTCTGCTGATTATTCTCAGAGTCTCACTTCCCTCCCCTGTAAAATAATGATACCTGTCCTGCCTTTCAAGCTGTCTGTGAGGCTTCAATTAAATATTACATGTGAGAGTGGTCAGTGATGTCTAACGTGTTGTATGCACATGACTGTCCTCAAAGAGAGACAGGGCACTCAGACACGATGAGTGAATAGCACAAAGCAGCCTGCAGTACTGACAGGGCAGGGGTATAATTGAGGGCTAGGCCGGAGGGCAGGAAGGGAGGGAAGGGAGAAGCCCGTCAAGGCTGTAGAGAGCAGGGAGGGTCTCTTAGAGGAGGTGGCGCCTGAGCTGGGCTCAGAAAATGCACAGGATTTAGAAAGGAGAGATGGGAGAAGTCATTCCTAGTTGTGAGAGGAGCCTAAGCAGATTTCTAATTTGGGGGAGCAGCAAGCAGCTGGCCAGAATGGAGGCCCAGGAAGGAGACGAGACAGCTGGATAGAAAGGTAATAAAAGGAGAATGGAGAAGGGATGCTCATTTATTACCTATTCAGGCCAGGAACCATGCCGTGTACTTTCACAAATGGCACCTCCTGCTGCCGTGGGGGTGTGGGCAGCAAGGTGGCACTGAGGCAGGGCTGAGGCCTCACTCACCCTGATACCTGCCCAGATGGCTCCGACTTCTGGAAGTCAGTGCACTTTACTGACTACAGCCAGCACAATCAGATGGTCATGGCCCTGACACTCCGCTGCCCACTGAAGCTGGAGGCCTCCCTTTGCCAGAAACAGGATTGGCACACCCTCTGCGAAGACCTCCCCAATGCCACGGCTCAAGAGTCAGAGGGGGTGAGGACAGGCCCTCCCTGGGCCGGGGTGGGCAGGGCTAGGGCCCAGGAATTTTCCTCCCTGACTTTCCTCTCTCCCTAAGTGGTATGTTTTGGAGAAAGTGGACTTGCACCCGCAGCTCTGCTTCAAGGTACAACAATGGGTGAGAGGAGGGGATGGTGAGGGTAGTGGGTGTTGCCTGAAGCATGCTGACTTGCCACTCCTATATTTTGCAGTTCTCGTTTGGAAATAGCAGCCATGTTGAGTGCCCCCACCAGACTGGTGAGCCAAGAAGTGACCTCGGCTGGGACCCCCTGCTCCCATTTCACACTTACCCAACTGTGACCAAGCCAAACTCTAGCCCAGCCCTGAGCTTCCTGTCAGCGGCAGCCCAGCTCCTATCGCCCCACACATACAGGGTCTCTCACATCCTGGAAAGTGAGCATGGATACCCAGGCCCAGCAGCTGATCCTCCACTTCTCCTCGAGGATGCACGCCACCTTCAGTGCTGCCTGGAGCCACCCAGACTTGGGGCAGGACACCTTGGTGCCCCCTGTGTACAGTGTCAGCCAGGTATGGTCTGGGCAGGGCTTCGCCCCTACTATGTCCTATTGCTCAGAGCACAACCCCCAATTTCCTTGTCACCTCATTGAGACAGACCCTGGGCAGGTGGAGGCAAACAAATCCCTGACTTCTATTAACTAGAAGCTCCTCTGTCAGCTAGTGGGGTCCTCAAGGGGGTAGCTTCTAATCCTCTCAGTTTCTGAATTTACAGGGATAACAGAGGCAAGGGAGTGGCCCTCCCACATCCAGCTGTTCCCTAGCCTACCCGAACTGCTGCCACATTTTATATTAATGCCTTTCATTGAACTCAGCTGTCCTCTCACCACTACCGTCCTGCCTCCGTAAGCACCTGTGCAGAAGTTCTCTGTCTCAGGAGGCAGAGCCCCGGGAAGCTGAAGTGCTCTTTGCACAATAGTGTAAACTACTGACAGATTTAACTCTATTACGTGGACTAGGAACAGTTTGCCTAGCAGACTCTCTTCTGTGTATCTGATAGAAAAACCACAATCAAAAACATCCACAATACCACAGCACCAAGCTGACTAAGCATGACTAGCTCTTTCCAGTTCTTTCTTATATGCTCACTTGCAGCTGATTTATTTGTTTCGCATTCTATGAGGGCTCCCAAGCAGACAGGTAAGCCAACACTTAAGATTTAAGACCAAGTCATGCTTAAGATTTGAGACAAAGTCTTGGGATAACCTAAGACTGAGATCAAATCCACTGACTCATTTATTTCTGTGAGCTGAGTAAAGACCACCTTCATTGAGTGCAACCATAAGTTGAGAGCCACGATATCACAAGCTGGTCAGAGAATGGGTTCTGAAGCAGGTGCAGGTGTAGGTTTGGTGGTAGGGAGTGGAAAGTGTTCCTGAAGGATGGGGACTGTGGTGAACTCCCTATCGGGCACCCAGAACACAGGGTAGACCCACATCCTGCCTGCAGACAGCTCGCAATCAGTTCTGCCCAATTCAGCATGCATTTATTGAGTGTCTACTCTGTACCTACCCTGTATTAGGCCCTGGGAGATACAAGAAAAGTATATACCCCAGTCTCTGCCCTTGAGGAGTTCACAGTCTAATGATAGCTACTACTAATAAATGAATATACACTGCAGTTTATTATAAAGAATGTTCATATGCACATTGCCATTTGATGCTCTCAATAACCAGTAAAATAAAGATTATTACCCGCCCCCATAAACAAAGGAAGAAACTGAGGCTCAGGGAGGAGAGGTATCTCTATGCAAAGACCACACAGCCAGGGGCTACAGAAACAACAGTTAAAAGCCTGAACCTAGGTCTCCTGACTCTACCACTTACATTCTTTCCGATGGACAAGGTACCTCTTCAGTTGTGTAGGAGAGTGAAGGGAGGCAGCAGATAATTAGCCTCCCTGGTTTGTGAGCCGCTGGAGGACAGAGACAAGGTCTGTCTCTGTCTTCTTTCCTCAGGGCTTGGCACACAGCAGGCACACAGAATATGTTTGCTGACAAGTGCCTGACTGCAGCAAGAGTCGAGATCTGGGAAAGATCAGTGGGGGCTAGAGTTGCTGGGGAAGTCTTCCCGCCAGAGGTGGCACTTGCCCGGAGGCCTAGGGAGGAGGCAGGTTGGGGAGGAACAGCATGGGCAAAGACTCAGAGGCTGGACAGAGCCAGATCTGGCGCCATGGGGAGAGTCATCCTGCTTTTTGTTCCTGCAGACCCAGGGCTCAAGCCCCGTGATACTAGACCTCATCATTCCCTTCCTGAGGCCAGGGGGCTGTGTCCTGGTAAGGAATCCTACCCTCATTCTGCACACAGATCCCTGGCATCTACTCCATTGGTGGCCCATGTGAAAAATCCCATCTGCAAAAATGTTTGGTTTGGCCAGCACAATGTTTGAAATTGGAATTAGACATTTACATATATACATAAAGCTGAATTTCTGGCTTCTCTTGAAAAATCAGAAAACCCGGTGCTGTGTTTCTGCATTCTGGCATGGTGGCAGTGGCCTGGGGCTCAGTGGTGTCTGAGTGTTTCAGTCAAGGCCTGCGCTTCAGAGCCTCACAGCAGCCCTGGCCAACTTTATGAGTTTACTTTTTGAGTTTGGCACTTGTCACACTTGAGTTTGCCACCCTTGACATGTTCTGTGCCAGGGCGAGAGCTGGACCAGACACAAACCCTGCACTGGAGGAATTCCCTAGCCAGTGGGAACTCATCCCCTTCTCCCCTCTCCCCTGCTTGCCCTATTTAACCCCTCCTGCAAGAAGGGGATGCCCTGGCTCACAGGGGTGGGGGGCTCTGTGCCCTCAGGTGTGGAGGTCAGATGTCCAGTTTGCCTGGAAGCGCCGCTTGTGTCCTGATGGTGAGTTCTTGGTGGGGGAAGGGGAGGTCAGAGGGAGGTTGGGCACTGAGGAGCTGGGCTTGGCCTCACCCTGCTTGACTCAGTCTCTCACAGACACCTGGGGCTCTTGATCCTGGCACTGCTGGCCCTCACCACCCTATTGGCTGTTGTTCTGGTTCTCATCCTCCGCCGCCCACTGTCAGGTAAGCTCACCTGGGGGTAACCTGGGGATTCAGATCTGTGCAGCTCTTAGGCTAGTCGCCCCCTCACCCTCCCCTGCCCAGGCCTCCTGCCACTACTACCCAAGTGGTGAGCCTCAGGCCCCTCCGTGCCCGTTGTCACCGAACCAAGGGGCAAGAGGCTAGCGGGGCGGAAATCCAGCCTGCACTGTACTTACCTAGCCCGGTGCCCTGGTCCTTGCTCCGGAATTAGCCCACAGCCACCCTATGGGCTAGGGCTGCTTTGGGTACCAACTCCCAGGGCAAAAAAGGGGGGAGGGGAGGCACCCTACGGGGTGGCCTGGAGGCGGGGGAGGAGAGGGCTGGGCTGTCGCTTAGACCCGCACCCGGTTCATCTGTTGCTCCCGCCCAGGCCCGGGCCGAGCGCGGCCGGTGCTGCTCCTGCACGCTGCGGACTCAGAGGCGCAGCGGCGCCTGGTGGGGGCGCTGGCCGAACTGCTGCGGGCCGCGCTGGGCGGCGGACGCGACGTGATCGTGGACCTGTGGGAAGGGAGGCGTGTGGCGCGCCTGGGCCCGCTGCCGTGGCTCTGGGCGGCGCGGGCGCGCGTGGCGCGGGAGCGGGGCACGGTGCTGCTGCTGTGGAGCGGAGCCGGCCCCGGCCCGGCCCGCCGCCCCGACCCCCGCGCCGCGCCCCTGCGCGCCCTGCTCCGCGCCGCCCCGCGCCCGCTGCTGCTCCTGGCTTATTTCAGCCGCCTCTGCGCCAAAGGCGACATCCCCCCGCCGCTGCGCGCCCTGCCGCGCTACCGCCTGCTGCGCGACCTGCCGCGCCTGCTGCGGGCCCTGGACGCGCGGCCTTCCGCCAGAGCCACCAGCTGGGGCCGCCTCGGGGCGCGGCAGTGCGTGCGGGGCCGACTGGAGCTGTGCCGCCGGCTCGAACGCGAGGCCGCCAAACTTGCCGACCAAGGCTGAGCAAGCTGCACCGCAGTCCCGGACGTCTGCGGCTGCAGCGCGTAGGGGCACTGGCTGGAACCCCGGAATGAGCCTGCCGCCCTGGAGTCCTCCGGATGCCTCCTGAGACTAAGGGCCGGAAAGCATTATTCCGGCCGCCCAGCCCGGGAGTCCCAGCCCCTCCCCGACGCGTGTCCGCCTTCCTCCCGGTACTTACCCAGCCTCTAGGAATCCCTACGGAGTCACTCTTCGCTGAGAATTCCTCAAACCCCTGTTCTGATGAGGGAGGGCGATCTTCCCACTTCCTCTCTCCAAAACTGCAAGACTGGAATGCTCCAGTCCAGGCTGGAGAGATGGGGGCAGGGGTAGAGGGGGCAGGAGCTGACCCCATGTCAGCTCTGAAAGAAGGTGCGTTGGGTGGGGATTGGGCAAAACCCCTCGGGGGCCAGAAAGCTCCCTTTCCCATACCAGGGCCCTGCACAGAGTGGAGGGAGGGAAGACTGGACCCAGGAAAAGAGACTTTGGCTCTGGGTGGCCAGGAGACTAAGGTCCAGAAAGATGAATAAAGGCAAACATGGTAGATAAACTACGAAACGCAATGTGCTTCTCTGGTGTGGCTGGGGTCAGCAGGACGCTGCCTGGGGGTTGTTGGGCCCAGATCCTCCTTGTCCACACCCACCAGCAGTGCCTCCCAAAGGCAAAGGAGGAGTGGGCAATCTCCTTGGTCCTCACCGTGATTCTTCCAGGAGAAGAGAGGAAAACACAAGCTTAGATAGGTGCTGTGTCCACCATCACACAACCGGCCCATGGCAGCAGCACAAACGGGACTCCTGCCTGGCTCTGGGTCCTGGGATTCTTCTCCCCATACCACACTTTAGCCTAAGTCAGGCAGTGGTGGATAGTCTACTTTCTGGTGCCCTTCGGCCCTGGCTTTAGAGCTCCTGTCCCACAAAGGGTCATTGAGGCCCAGAGAAGTGTGTGAGGGGACCTGGGTTACTCAGTAAGGGGGGATTCAGTGGGCCCCAGGATCCCAGGGCCGTGGGAAGCGGGAATGCCACTGGGCACTGGATTGCCCAGGCCCTGAGCACACTAAGTCGGAGCCCTTCTCCTCAGGGATTCCCGGGGTGAGTAAAAGCTTCCTTACTCAGCCATGATGCCTTTTTCGGGGGCCCCTCCCAGCCAGGTGTCAGCAGAGGAGGAGGAAGAGAGCCAAAGAAGGAGGAGGCTAGGCCACCACCCTAGTCCAAGGCTGCTGGCTTCCAGGCCTGGTGTTGGTGGGAGGGACACAGCAGGGGCGGGAACAGCCGGCTGCCTGCTGGGAGCCAAAGCGAAAGCACTTGGGCTGGAACTAGGACAAGAGTCAGGACACCGGGAGAGGGAGTGCACAAGCTACCCAGCGCTGGGACCCCAGAGGCTGGGAAGGGCCTCTCACCCCTGTCACCCACAGACACGGGGCTGAGTGGGGTCAGGGGCGGGGAGCCTGCCCCCCCTCGGGGGGGCAGGACGGGGCCTCAGGCCTCAGTGCTGCCTGGCACCTGGAAGATGCCTGTGCCCTGGTTCTTGCTGTCCTTGGCCCTGGGCCGAAGCCCCGTGGTCTTCTCTCTGGAGAGGCTTGTGGAGCCTCAAGACACTGCCTACTGCTCTCCGGTGAGTCTGGGGCCCTGGCAGGATTGGGGAAGACTCAGAGTTCAGTCTTTGGCCCAGCAAAGCCCTAGCCTGGCTCCTGTCACTGCTGCCACCAACAGAACTGCCCAGGCTGGTCTGTCTGGAACTGATGGGAGAAGGGAAGAGTGGGGAGGGGGGAAAGAGCCGGATCTGCCTTCGTCTGGGAGGGGCTTGGAATAGGGAGCCCCAGAAAGAATTGGGTAAAGGTCTCAGGCAGACAGAGGTGCTTAAATTGGGGGCATAAACTCTGACTTTCCTTCCTCTCCTTCCCAGGGCCTTTCCTGCCACCTCTGGGGTGAGTATAGAGAAAAGAACTTCCCAGGTTGGCTGAAGGGAGGAGAGCTATCCCAGTCCCGTGCCTCCCCACCCACCCTCAGCCCAGGAAGAGCCAAGCTCCTTGGCCCTCTGGAGGTGTAAGTGCCACCAAACTGTGAGTTCTGAACAGCTTCAGCTCCCACCTCCCTCTTCACACACAGATGGTGACACGCTTTGCCTGCCTGGAAGCATCGTGCCTGTCCCCGGCCCTGTGCTGGTGCCTACACACCTGCAGACAGAGCTGGTGCTGAGGTGCCACCAGGAGACCGACTGTGGCATCTGTGTTCGTGTGGCTGTCCACTTGGCCGTGCATGGTGAGTGAGGCATCCTGCGGCTGTGCGTGTGCACATGTCAGAGTGCCCAGGGTGGGCATGAGGACTGGGGAATCTGGCGGGCAGTGCTCAGTGTAGTCTGGAGGACACTTGCTGAAGGACCCCCAACCAGTGTGGTCTCCCCGAGCCTGCCCTGCTTCCCAGCCCTGGAAGGAAGCCATGCCCGGAGCCAGCCCAGCCTCACCTGAGCCTTGTTCTCGGGTTCTTCTAGGGCACTGGGAAGAGCCCGAAGATGAGGAAACGCTCGGAGGAGCAGCTGACCAAGAGCTTGAGGAGCCCAGGAATGGTGAGGAGAACCCGGCTGGCCCAACCGTCCCTTGCCAGGGTCTTTCCTGAGGCCCCTGGGCCTGAATGACCCCTGCCCTGTTCTCACAGCCTCTCTCCAGGCCCAAGTCGTGCTCTCCTTCCAGGCCTACCCCACCACCCGCTGCGTCCTGCTGGAGGTGCAAGTTCCTGCTGCCCTTGTGCAGCCTGGTCAGTCTGTGGTATGGAAAATAATAATAATAATAGCAACGACAACCACCTTCTAAATATGAAATCTATAAAACGCTTTCACAAGCATTATCTCTTTAAGTCCTGATTCTGATCAGAGCTGTGGACAAGTTCTTTTCAGCCTTTTATGCCTCAGTTTTACTGTTTGTAAAATGAGGATAAGAGTAGTCCTACCTCATGTGTTTGACTTAGTGAGAAATCATCACACAACTTCCTGGAGTGATTCTACTGTTTCGCACTCCTGCCAGCAGTGTAGGGAGTTTCGCTTGCTTCTCATCTTTGCCAGTACTTGGTGTTGTAATTTTAAATTTTAGCCTTTCTGCTATGTATGTAGTGGTATGTCATTGTGGTTTTAATTTGTACATCTCTGATGAAGTTGAGCACCTTTTCAC